GCCCCCCCCCCCCGCCGACACTTCCCTCACGCGCCGACTATCAACCTCCTTTTATCTATCCTAACAGTTGCAGTTCCCTCATTAAGCCTCCTTTAATTTACCTCCCGGACACAGCTTCATTACTTCTTTTTTCGATTTTTTTTCTTCCTCGTTTGCCGGTGAACTGTGCAATGTTGCGCTCCGTTCCGCCAAATAGATCGTATTCGATACATCGAGCAGGTGAGATTGTATCGATATCGGTAGCACGGGAAAGAATGGATTGCTAATTTAACAATTAAATTGTTAAAATATATCAACATACTTCAAATGTACAAATGAAGAAGAAAAAAAACACTAAGAAGGGGCCCAAACTGTATGTAACAAGGTGGAGAAGTGGTGCTGGGTCCACACCATTTCGCGGGGAAAACAAAGCCAAGAAGTTCCGAAAATTAAAATTAGAGTCAAAATTAATTTTTTGAACTCTAATGCGCACCAGTACGAAACTGAGTTCTATGGCTTTGTTTTCCTCGCGAAATGGTGTGGACCCAACACCATTTCTCCACCTTCAAATGTACATTTTACAATATTTGACAGCTAATTCAACCACGGTGTTGGTTAAATCAGCATATTTTAGTATAAAATCTACACTGAACATGTTGGACGGGTTTTTTAGCTACAAAATTCGTAAGATCAGCAATTTCAATTTGTTCCGTGTGGTCCAATATGTAAACGTAGCTTCGAAAGTCAATTCAGAAATGTAAGGTAACGGGTCTTTTGTGATCGAATTTGTATTCTTTCGAGTATCCAATGGCAATGAAAAGTGGAATCGATAGCGATACAATCTCACCTGTTTGATGTACACCGATAAAAAAACTCCGGCCGTGAGAGCCGCAATTACGGGCTATGTAGACATACCGTCCATTCCGGGCTCAAAGACCGAAAATTCCGGCTGCTAGAGCCGTAGCTTTGGCCTCTGAACCCGGAGTAATCAAAACTACGGCTCCAGCAGCCGGAATTTTCGGCCTTTGAGCCCGGAACGGACGGTATGTCTATATGGCCCGTAATTGCGGCTCCCACGGCCGGAGTTTTTTTTTCAGTGTATCGAATACGATCTATGACGTAAAGTCTCCGATAAACCAACGGCGTTGCCGTCAAAATTTTGACTAGTGGTGAATTTGCAGGTGTCGTCTGAAATTTGATGAATTTCATGCTTAAGTAAAAATTACTCAGTGAACTGAGCATTAGGATATCCTCGGTTTGTAAATGCTGAACAATTATTGGAGGAGATATGACAAAATAATCTTATCTGCCGAAATACATGTGTCTAAATGGAAAATCCCGCCAGATGACGTCACCACATGTAGAATTTTCTCACTTTAAAAACTATTTTTATATTTATTTCCATATCAGAAAAAATTGCAAAAAATATTGCAAAATTATCTCTCTGAGCCTTTTCAGATGAAACAATAAAAAATGTGCGTATAAATTCTCCATTGGCTAAATGTTTTGATCTGAATCGGATATTGATTTTAATCGTTAGTTGGTTCGAAAAATCGATTGCAAGTTCCAATCGGCACAAGAGTATCGATTCAATTTTCCCTATTTTTTGTCAAAAAATCAATTTTAAACTGCCATCACTGGCGAGGATGAGGATAAACAGATGAGAATGATGGAGACTCTTTAGGTCTGTATGCAATGTCACCATTAAAAAAGACTAGACACAGGATTTTGTTTAGGAGAGGGAGGGGTATATACGAACTATAACAGAAACAAAGGACTACGTTTCCTGCGAGCTGATTATTGAAGTCGATAGACAAAGCCACACAAAAAAAGGACATACAGAGTTTGGAAGGATCCTATTGGTTGAAATGTATGTTTCCTATAGACTAAGGGAGAAAATGATGGACTAAGTGTCAGGTTTCTCGTGGGTTGCCGTTAGTTAGTTAGTCTACATATATTACCTCTTTCCTTTGTCCATTGCAACCACCCGCCTCCACCAAAAGGATCCCTCCATATCCCTTTTGTCTTCTGTTTCTATAGCTTTGTCTATCAGTTTCAATAATCGGCCCGCAGGCTGATATGCGGCTTAACCCCCCCCCCCCCCCCCCCCGTTCTTGACCTTACCGATTCGAGGGTCGAGTCCTGACACCTAAACACTCATGTTTTCATTCAACACCAAATATGAAACTACTAACTTAACTGACAGAAACCAATCCTTCTTCATTTTGAGCATGACATTTTTAATATAAGCGAAACAATACAAAACAATACTTCCTCCACCCTACGGTTGGGGGAAAAGTAAAAAAATGGAGGACAGTTTACTCGAGGAAATATGTTTATCATATTTTAGGATCGAAGGAGATGCGTGGCTCTATGAGAGTAATAAATATCTTTAAGTGCTGATTCATTATAAAGTCGAATCAGTGAGAACGAAAACACGCCAACTCGAAAAAATGAAAATAATCAAGACACACACAAAACTGCACAGTGAGTGTAAAATTTAGTCGAAGAAAAAACTTTTTGATGTCAAATAAAGACAAGTACTTAAGGACACTTCAAACGTCCGAGTTTGAACAGATGCTCTAGCTTCAATGGCCTTTATTAAAATTGATTGTCTTTAATTGAAAATCGAGTTACCGAGTTGGTGTGTTTTCGTTCTCACTGATTCAATTATAATATTTGACAAACTTACAATTTAACCATCAAAATTGCAGTAAATACAATTTGTAAAAGCCTATATGTACGGTCGTCGTCGCGTCGTCAAGACTCAAGAATCGAGAGTTTAATGAAGTTTCCATGAATAAGAAACGCCTTCAAATTGTAGGATATACTCACTTCATTACGACAAATCTGTACATGGCTATACTGCGTGCATCCAATGCTATACTTCGGCCTCACTGTTAGACAGACACGCTCTGCCTTGCTATGGAAAAACGTCGTATAAACGTTCGCACGTTGCCGAAGTTTCCTCACATAAAATATATATTTTCGAGGCAAGTTACGAATATTTTTGCTTAAAATTTGAAAAATTTGAAGCAAAAGAAAAGCAGAAAAAATTTTCTAAAAAAATGGGAGGAAAAATTTGCCCAAGATTCCTTACAAACTCGTATTGAACTTTAATGAATTTAAATGGAGTGGTCCAGTTACACGATCAAATTGAAGCTCTGATTGGTGGAAAAAGACCTGAGGCGAGGATGCGACCAATGAGGGGCCCAATTTGATGGCTCAATTTGATCGTGTAACTGGACCTGAGGGGAAACAATTTGGCCAACTTTCAAGCATCACCACTCTGCCGTACTAAGGAAGAACGCCGTATGAACCTTCAGGCGTTGCCAAATTTCCTTTGCTAAAAACCGAATTTACGGGGAAAATTTTGAATATTTTTCTTCGAATTTCTCAGATAATTTGTTTCGCAACTTGATCCAACACATCCGAAAATTTTGCGGAAAAATATGCATAACTTTCCTCAGAAATACATGTTTTATCTGGAGAAATTTGGCAACTCTCGAATGTTCATACGGCGTTTTTCTTTAGCACGGCAGCACTATCCTCACTCGATGTCGAGGTTGAAGGTGTTGCTTTAATGCGCTCCTAAAAAACAACATATCTAGTTTGCGGTGTTTCAAAGTCTCTGCCCAATTTTGTGTTTAATGACATGTTTTTTTGTCATTCAGTCTCGCTTTTATTTAAAGCTGTCAAGTTAAACTTTTAAGGAGGAGGTTTGATGAACCAAGCTTTGATTTGAAGTAAAATCAAACATGGAAGGGAAAAGTGAGGGAATTTGAAGCTGGAGAAAAAATTCCCATCTTGGAAAATGACGCTTTTGGGGGAAAATTGTCTGTCCTGGTCGAGCCCCCCTGGCCCCATGGCTATGCGATTGGTGGTTTTAGGCCTAAATTTTCGGCTGAACATGGCATTGATCGCTGTTGGCACCATTTTTTAAAAATTCAACACTCCAGCAGTAATTTTCTAAAGAATTTCAACCCTGTTAAACTAGTCTCATGAAAACCACTGCGTTTGCACTAATTTTTACAAAATATCAGCATCCTTATCATGTAAAAATCAGTGCTTTGGGCGTTCACTCTTTATGATTAAACCGACTTTTTGAATCGTGTAACCGAAAGCTCGGTTCAAGTAATCGATCTCCTTTCATCAGTTCTTTTAAACCTCATAAGTTTGGTTACGCGAACTGGGAGTTGGGCTCGCCGTAATTGAATTGGGATGGTATAGAACACCATGTTCTCCTTCATTGTGTGGATATGCAATTTTATTGTATATTCTTGAAGGTCAAAATATTTTCATCACGTGTTTCGCCCCATCCAATTTTTCTACTCCTGCGTTAAAGTTTCTACCTCAGTCGAAAAGAAACTCCCCTTCATTTCGTGGATACGCAATTTTGTCTACTTCAATGTATCGTGCGTTTCGCCCTGATCACCTTTCGTACTCCAGCGTTAAAGTCACCGACTATTTCGAGAAGAGACTAACAATAAGCCTTTTTCGTTGATGTTGATATGCGAGAAAGTTTTGTTACGTCAAAATTCTGACTGGATCTATGGAAAGGGACCCCATTTTCCGGAAGAGAATTTCCGAAGCTTGGAACTTCGCGCAGATACCGATTGAGGAAAGTGCCTGCAAAACTGTGGGAATACTTC